GGAAAGAAGTTACACATAAACTATTTTAGGTAATCAGAAACTGGTTTAAACCTGTAACAGAACAGAAGTTCAGTGCACATAAACCAGTTTCAACATAAACAAAACTGATTTAAGATAAACCTGGTTGGATGTAGTATCATACTTAACTGATTTGGGTCAAACTGGTTTATAGAACTTCTGTCCCAGACCCCTTCCTGGCTCAAGTTAACTCTCAGGCCCCCAGCATCCCAGGTTGCTTTGCAGCCCTGGGCTATGCTGTCTGCTCCAGTGAAGCAGGGGCTGCCTCATCCCTCTGCTCCTTAGCCTGCTTCCTGCCTGTGTCCATCAGCCCATTGGAATGGGATGGAGGCAGGGAAACACCCCCAGCGCATTGGCTACATGTAGGGGGTGAAAATGGGTGCACATGCACCTCCTGAGATCAGCCGTGCACCCCCTGGAAGTCCAGTCACGAAACCGGAAGTGCTGGTGGACGTGCACTTCCAGTTTCGTGCCCCCACCCCTGTCAGCAATCTTGTGCTCCCCCAGATTCAGGAGGCACCACTCGCTCATGCCCAAGCCCCCCCTCTTACCCAGCCAGGGTCTACATAGCACGTGGCAGGAGGGAAAGCCCCTGTGGTGGGGCTTTTTCAGACCCTCGCAGCTATCCCCCTCCCGAGCTCTGATTGCTTCAGTGGCTGCCACAGTAGGCAAGAAGTCCTGCCAGGCAGGTGCCTGCCCCTTTAGCTCATGGGGGGACCAGGGAGCCCCTGCCTTGGGGGGCCTCCCCCCCACCCCAACCCAGGGTCCTCCATCCCTGGGCAGCCCCAGGGAGCTGAGGGAAATTCTTCCCCTCCCAAACCTTGCCTAAGAACCTTGCCTCAGTGTCTGCGAGTCTCAGCAGCTGGAGGGAGCAGAGGGAAGTTCTCTTGCTCCTCTGCAGCCAGTTTTGCCTTAGCTTCTGTAAGTCTGAGGCAAAACTAATGCAGGGCAGCAGAGGAATTTCCTGCCACTCCCTGGGCTATCCCTGAGACTCCAGCAGCCAGGGTGGCCATCAGTGGCAACGCGTAGGGGATGCATGGGGTTGCACATGGTGCACCCCGTGACAGGCTGCGCTCCCCGCTTAGGCAATGGGCAGGGGAGTGAGAGTGCTGGCCAGGGAGTGGGAGCACCGGATGTAGTGCTGTGGGGGAGTTTTGCTGCGAGGGCACTCCCCACCCCGGTCAGCAATATTGGCCGCAGGGGGACTTCCCCCCTCAAGAAAGCAAAATTGGCCACAGAGAGTCCTCTTTCCCCTCCCCCCCCACCAGTTGCTGACTGGTTGCTGGGGGGGTACATGTCCCCCTGACTAAGGTGGCACCAGTCACCCATGGTGGCCATCATAGAAGACAGTCCAGTTGTCCTCTGCCCCCTATTGATACAAACCCAGATGCCTTTATGTAAGGACATGAAGGCATTGGGTTTCGTATCAATAGAGGACAGAGTAGCAGAAAACCAGGACGTCCTCGATGATGGCCACCCTACCAGCAGCTAAGGCAAGGAGGTGGGCTTGGGAAGAATCCCCCTCAGCTCCCTGGGGCTGCCCTAGGGCTGGGAGACCCTGGGCTGGGGTGAGGAGAAGCCCCCCCAAGACAGAGATTCCCTGGTGCCACCATGCTGAGCTGTAGGGGCAAGCATTTGGCTGGGAGGACTTCTTCTCCCTCCCTCCTGGGGCAGCAGCTGAAGCATTCCCCTCAGCTCCCCAGGGCTGCCTGGGCTGGGAAACCTCCTGAGGGGGAGTCTCCCCCAAGGTGGGCCAGCACCCAGACAGGGGGCTCCTGAACCCCCTGTGGGGGACAGCTGGCATTTGGGGACACTTGGCTGGGCTGGCAATAGCCAGCAGGCTGGGAGGAGTGCTCTAGCACTCCCTGCCTACTGGACTGGGTCAGTGCAGACCTCCCTCTGCCTTTCCTGATTGAAAACTGAATGTCAGTTCAGTTGGTTACCCATGCAACCTACACAGCTTAGAGGAAGCTGCCTAGTTTGAATCGATTCAGCCTCAGGCTTCTGACTGTCTGTACTTAGCCTAATAATACACAGCACTTATACATTATTACAGGATCTATATTCCCTCTTAGCCTTCTACACAGTCCTTCCCAGCCAGAGGTGGAAGGTAGTAGGGGACAGGTTGTTTGTGCCACATCAGCTAGTAACAGAGACTTTGGTCTCCTGGGCTTGATTGGCTTTTACATTTTAAGGAAATGATGAAGAACAGAGAGAGGATAGGGTTTAATGGGAGAGGCAAGAAAAACAGCAGGAGGAGGTGGGGACAGGGAAGACATGGGGGGTGGGGGGGGCA